GATGTGGGTTGACTTCCCAAATTAGTTGTGAGTAGTTGTATGAGTGAAGTATGAGTAAAAAAAAAATGATGAGTGTTGTGTGCGGCTTGGTGCTTCACCTATCACCTAAATATCAGGTGCTAGATATTAAGTTTATCCAGGTACTGCAGCACAGCGATATTTTAGAATTGTTTGTTGGTATTTATGGTTATATATTTAACTTGTTATTATTGAGTTCAAAGTATTTTCAAGTGTATCTCAAAGTTTTTAAAAAAACAGAGTTTTCATCCTCTATAAGGGGAAAGGAATGTAATGGTTTGAGGCTATGACGTTTAGTTTAGTTATTTGCATAATGATATTGATACATTGTATGGAACATCTCGTGAGTATTTAGACTCAGTTCCAGGCCTAGCAGTTGAGCAATAAACACCTTGGCTACAAGTGCTCCTCTCCAGTGTGTTATTCTCCTCCCGGATCTGGTGACCAATATTCACTTGGTTCACTCTACCTTGAGAAGTCTGTTCTCAGTTTACAATATCGCTATATCATTTTTTTGTATCACAATACCATATTTGCTCTATAAAAAGCATATCATTATCAGACACACATATAAACCAAAAAATTGGCTTATTTTGACTGAACAAACATTTCTGTGAGTCACGTAAGCATATGCGCTACTAAAAAAGCAAATACAGTAGATTAACAACTTCCATTGTTGGAAATCAAAGCATGGATGTACTGCTATATCGGTAGAAATATCGGTAAAACATTAATATTGGAGTAGTTTTTTTTTAGCATCACTCTAACAGAAACCTATGCAAGTTGTGAATTGTTTATTTTTATTGTTAAGTAGAATTCAAAGATGTCATAAAAACTCAGTGTTCAATGTTTCTGGCAATGCAGATCCTCAGACCTGCTATTATTGTTGTCAAATAGGAGACTTTAGCAAAGATTAATTATAATGAGATAAGAAATAATAAGTAAATCTGAAGTTGGCAATTAGCAACCAAATAATTTGGCAAAGAGTTTGTTTATGGTATAGTTCAGCTTGTAGGCAATAAAAACACTGATACAATGGCCATTCAGACCTGTACGTTTTCCAATCAATATTGTTGAACAGTGGGAACGTTGGCAAGGCAACATGACTCTGAACTAAAGGTTAAGTAAATAAAACATACAATATAATTATTTTGATTGGAGTAATGAGTTCCAGATCTACAGCTAAAATGTTTTCGAAATTGCAAAGTATGTTCACTATTTCTGTATTTGCAGTGCATGGAAGGAAATGGAAACTGATATTGGTTGAAACATGTTATACTGCCCTGCCCTATACTGACCTTGTCATCTCGCTGTTAACGTTTATGTGTCTTGGTACATGTGACCACGGTTCTCGGTTTGTCAATTTATCATTCTGATCCCACCAACCAATAGTCTGCGTGGTTGTCAAGGGAACACGGTATACCTCATTTGGTGCTGAAAACAAACCAAACAATTCGTATATAAAAGATGCATCCATGCATGTGTGCAAGTGTACGAATGAGTAAACAATTATTGAGAAGAAAAGTTTGAATTTTTACCAATCTATGCTTGCCCTACACCTGAAGTAGAATTCATGTTCATAAACACACTAATTATTAATTTCACTTTAGTAGAGCAGTAACAAAAATCAGCAAAAACCAGTATACTATATGTGACTACATGTTACTATAGTCATGAATCTAGTAAAATAAAGAACATGAATCAAATATATTGTTTTCAGCCAAAAATAAAATTGAAGAAAAAAAGATTACCTGACGATAATAGCACATCAAACTGCTGTCAAATCTTAAATTGCTGAGTGCTTTTAAATTTATATTTGAATATCAGAAAAAAAAAAAAAAACTGATAATACAAACTAAAAAAATATTATTTAAAATGAAAAGATTAAGCCAAATTTGCTTGATTTACGACTATTGCCATTACCACGATACGGTTTTGGTACATGTGACCACGGTTCTCGGTTTGTCAATTTATCATTCTCATCACACGGTCGTCTGGAAAAACAAATTCGCAAGTGATAAAATTTGAAAATTTCAGGGTTTAATCACGTTTTAGATTGCAACACAATTTTTACATTCGTACTATGTGGCCATAAATTCGGTGGCCATGGTTTCATTGGGTGTATTTTTTGATTAACGTCACAGATGAGTAAAAATACGGTTTAGTGAATCTGTATGATCACCAAACGAAAATACTGTTTTCCAGTTCTATAAAAATAATAACCCAGCCTTACTGTGTGCACCGTCATAATAAAGACAATAAAGCACTGTACAAGAAAGGGCGTACTTAACTTACCAGTGGCGTTTCTTGTGTGTTTATGTAGCTGAGTGGTATATCTAACGTACGATCCTCTGTGTGGTTTGGCAGTTGGTGGCGATGGCTCGACAACTCTGTTGTATTTAGACATGTCGATCGGTGGAAGTCTAGACGTGGCTGGTCGAAATGATACATGGCTACCTTGTGGGATATTGTGAACCAGCGAAAACGTATGTTCTCGATTTGGTCGTAAGACTCGTTCTCGAATTGGATCATGATAACCAAGGCAAGATAAGTTGAAGAACGACATATTGTCAAGTAATTCCGCCTCACGCGGTCAATACTATTCCAAACGTCAAATAAACACCATTCACTTCCGGGATCGGATCCGAGTGTTGTCAACCTGGTGGTCAAAATGGCGTCACTTAGCAACTCATTCTCGATAATTCGATCTCGAATTTCGTCTCGCGAGAATGTATGTGAGTGCATCCTCGTACGAAAAAAATATCCCAGAAAGAATGAAATAAAACAATGTCAAAATTTATATTTATATTTTATTCAGATATACAAATTACATTTTAATAGTACATGTTTTCGAGAAAACTATTCAAAATGCACGTGTAAATTGATGTGAATACTGCACATACAAAGACTGTTTGGACGCGGCTGAATTCCGCCATATTAGAAGTTCGGGCATGATTCCAGTACGGATTTGGCAATATTTTTCATAATCCATTGCCATCTCCCACTTTTGTGGTAATTCCTGCTTTTATTTCCCAACAAGATAATCAACGATGGCACAAGCTACGGGTACACTAGCTTTTGACGAGTACGGAAGACCGTTTTTCATCATAAGAGACCAGGGTTCTTCGTCTCGAATCAGCGGCGAAGCGGCTACTAAGGTAGGTGCACAGTCATGCCGAGTACTGTCATGTGTAGTACCGGCGTAAAATAAATAAATTAAGCAGGCAACTTGTATTCAAATATTCCTCTAATCAATATCTATCTCCGACAAGGGAAGTGTAACTAGATCTGAAAAACTAAATATGCAAAATAAAATTGCGTTTAAACATTTATTATTATTATGCACATGTTGACACATGTTTTGGATAATAGTCTTCTAGGGAAGACTCAGAGAATCCACTAAACACGGTTGATGATACTTTGATAATGGGATAGACGTACTCTAGTTAATGTCTGTCTGTATGAATTAAATATTGATCATGTAACTCGCATCTACGGCAGAGGATAAATACGAATAAAGGCTAGAAGTGCTCCAGTCAATATCATCCCCGACCCCTCCCACCCTGGGCATAGTTGGGGGGGGGGGAGTAGACTGGTTGATTGACATTTGCAACATTAAATACCAATTATTTTTTGTATCACTCTGTCAAATTATTATTTTACTATCGTTTCAGTCATTCTTTGAACGATTATGTTTAACTAAATATTGCTACACTACAGCAAGTTATTATCAACATTTTGTCGGTAACATTGTTATTGAAGTTGTTTTGCTACAATAAAGTTGATTTCCAGTAGTTTTAAGAAACTGATGATTCATCAAACCAATGTAGTTGTTCGACATCATAGTTGGTAACAATATCTATGAAATCCAGAGTCCACTCTTTGTTGCGTTCCGTCCCGTCCCAGACTCGGCGGCAACACTGGTCAACTTCTTTCGGCTCATCCCTAAATATTTAGTAATAGCAGTGTAGGAAATTCCTGCCCGTCCGCACGCCCGAGACGGGTAACTTTCGTATCGGACTGGTTGAATTTCAAACTTCCCTGTCCGGTGGTCGGGTAACATGTTACCACATTCTTCCGCCGAAATTGAAATAAAAACAAGCTACCATTCTTTATATGTGCTCTAAACATTTTAAACAGAAACGTGATCAGCCAAAACTATGAAAATATTGCATTGCCGTCGCACATCGCGACTTGCCGACACGCATTCTCAACCCACAACACGGAATCCATTGACGTATTAATAATAATAAGTACATGACCTCGGGTCAGGTTCTATCTCCCATGGTGCAGTGAG